TGAAATGAAGTCAGAGAGCAGTTTTAAGGGGATTAAGTGCCCAAAGGGTAGAAGACTTGAAATGTGGGTTCTGGGAATGGGATAGTAGAGGTAGAGTATTTTGGGTTTGGGTATGGAAGTGTGTTTGCTGAAGGGATTTTGAGGCCAAGACCATCATAATTGAAAGAACAAAGTACAGAGGCATAAGTCAATGATCAGCAGCTCTCTTTGGCCCATCTCAAATTTACTCTACTCTTCACATCCCTAAGCAGCTTTACTTGTTAAAGTCACTGATACTATTTTTACTTCTAATTAAAGAATTTGGGGGTGTCCTTGGCCAAAGTTTCTAATCCAGGATATTACTTAATACACCAGGCTTGCTTTTCTATCTGGGTGTATAGAATATATTATTTTTCTGGGTGTCCTCCTACCTTTCTGGCTATTTCTATAATGTATCCTTCGTAGAGTCTATCTGTCTATATATCCCACTAGAAGGTTCCAAAGCTTTAACCTTCATCTCCTGTTTTCTTGGTATTTGAAGACTCTAGTTAGTTAGTATGTGTCAACCTTTTTCATGTTATGGGACCTAATTATGATAATAATGTTCCATACACCAGAGAAAATAAAGAAATCTGTTTGAGGTCAGAGGCAACTTGCTTAGGGATACTGACTGCCCTGAGGACTGAGGAGAGCAGTAATTTTTACTCATTTCCATGAGCTCAATCTGTTGGTATTTAAATACAAGAGCTTCTCTTTCACCACTGATATTTCTCTCTTGGTTCACTCTCACTCTCTTATTGTATTGGCAAGACGTAAGAAACCTCAATATAATTTTAGACCTCATGACTGGAGTCTCACATCTGGTTTATACTTCTAAAACTTCTCTACTTTTGTTTTATTTTGTCTGCTTAACATTTTGATGTTGACAAGACCATGCCAGATGATATCCAAGGTGCTGTCCCAACCATTCATAAGAGTAGTGAACAGCTTCGACTCTTTGCATTTGAAGCAGAAGTCAATGAGAACTTCGAAATGGCAGCAATGTATTATGAAGAGGTAATTAAACATCTTCCCAGTGGTTGTTGTTACTGTAATTTGTACAATATAGGTATAATAAATAGTAGTATTTTATTATTTAAGATCCAACTTGATTAGTGAAAGGATAGACACATAGATCAATAAAACAGAGTCCAAAAATAGATCCACACAAATAAGGTTATTATATTTTTGACAAAAGTGTAAAAGAAGTTCAATGGACAAAGTATAGTCTTTTCACAAAATGGTGTTAGAATAGTTGGTAATCATATACAAAAAATAAACAAACAAAAACATTTGACTGAAACCTCAAACGCTGTATAAAAATCAATTCAAGCCCGGCTGGTGTGGCTCATGCACCAGGAGGTCGCTGGTTAAATTCTCCGTCCCCAGTAGGGGGCATACAGAAGGCAATCAATCGATGTTTCTCCCTCTCTCCCTCTCCTTTCCTCTCTCTGAATTCAATAAAAACATATTTTTTAAAAATCAACTGAAAGTAGATTGTAAGTCTGAATGTAAAATATAAAACTAAGAAACTTTTAGGAGAAAATCTTCATGACCTGAAGTTAGGTAAGGAATTCTTAGACATGACACAAAACATGATTTATTTTTTTTAAAATTGATAAATGGAACGTCATCAAAATTAAAAACATATGCTCTGTGAGAAACACTGTTAAGAAAAAGAAAATAAAAGGTACAGACTAAAAGAAAATATCTACAAAACATATTGAACAGACACTTTGCTAAGGAGGAATTAAGTATGCTAAATAAGAACATGAAAAGATGTTCAACACCATTAGGGAATGCAAATTAAATTCTAGTGACTTTGAACATCTTTTCACATTTATGATTTTTTTCAAGAGGAAATATTTTTTAAATTAATTGATAGGAAAATTTAGACTACAACAAGTTGAAAACATCAGTCTATCTGAATAAATTGTATGTCCCATTGTGAGTGGCTTATTTTACTCAGTATATGCCCTCAAGGATTCATCTATGTTAAAGCATATGTCAGAATTTCCTTCCTTTTTAGGGCTAAGTAATATTTCATTGTATGTATATACTACATTTTGCTTACCCATTCATCTGTCAGTAGACATTTGGGTTGCTTGTATCTTTTAGCTATTATGAATAACACTACTATGAACACGGATATACAAATGTCTCTTTGAAACTCTGATTTCAATTCTTGTGGGTATATACACAGAAGTGGGATTGCTGTATCATTTTATTTTTAATTTTATGAGGAACTACCTTATTGTTTTCCAAAGTGGCTGCACCATTTTACATTACAGCAAGACTTCTAATTTTTCCACTTCCTCATCAACAATTGTTATTTGTGTTTTGTTGATAGTGGCTGTCCTAATGGGTGAGACCTGATATTTCATTGTGGTTTGATTCCTTGATGATTAGTGATGTGGAGGATCTCTTCCTATGTTTTATGGCCATTTGTAGATCTTTGGGAACATATTTATTCAAAATATTTATTCAAAAATATTGCCCATTTTTGAGTCATGTTGTTTAATATTTTCTTGTTGAGTTTTAGGAATTCTTTATCTACAGTATTCTGAATATTAACCCCTTACCAAATACATAATTTGCAAATATTTTTCCCATTCTCACCAAACCACTCTTTTACTCTTTGATGTAAAAGAGTACATCAAAAGGTAGTTTCTTTTGATGTACAAAAGTTTTATTTTTAGCAGAGTCCAATTTGTCTATTTTTTCTTTAATGGCA